TGACCTCTCATGCTCCATTTTCTTTTATGTAGGCCATGTTCCTCACAGGTGTGTTTCAAGGCTCAGATGAGTTAACACTCTTAGCACAGTGCCTGGCACACAGTAAACCCAACAGATAGCTGCCATTACCGCTTTGTCATTTGTGTTGGTGGCAGTCTTTCCTATGAACCCTTTCTAGACCAGCTGTCTGTGGGTCAGGTCCTCGTGCCTGGGGTCTTTACCCTCACGTTATTTCCAGCTCTGTTTCAGCAGTCCCTGGAGAGAATAGCACGTAGTACGGTGTGGAAACCTTCACTGCTGCAAGAGTCGGTCTTGGAATCCTTTTGATATCATAGTTTATTCTAGTCAGGCCTGGAATAATTGCCCTAGTACTTCAAAGTTATGAAACGTGCTAGTTTGAACAGAGTAGTCGAGACGAAAATGTTCTAGCTTGTACCAACTTTTATTAGCCCATTTACCTCTCATGTAAAATGAGGAGAAAAATAAATTAAATCATCATTCTTTAACTACTCATTATATATGCTCTATTCCTCTGAGTGGGATAGGGAGATGAAACTCAACTACTTGTTTTCAGTTTTATGAACTAATATGTACAATGTGTGTCCTAATGCAATTTTGTCTTTCTTAATTGCCATCGACACTTTTCTCTTTTGAGTTGCCATTTTTTTGTTTCAGTCCTTTTGGCAAAATCAGTCCATTTCCCCCCTTAATTTAGGTGATTTCCACAGTGAAATATGTTTCCAATATGGAATTTGTAAACTCTACTTACTTATGGACATAATGGCTCCAGCCTGGTTCCCCAGAGCTCCTAAGAAATTGCAAGTCTAATCACCACCCTTTGAGGATTAAGACTTGAAGACAAAGGGGACATCTTTGTCAGCTTTTTTTTAAAAATCAAAGAGCTCCTGGAATTTTTTTGAGTATACATAAATATAAAAGCCAACTTCAATTTTTCTGATATGTGGAATTGCCTGAAAACATTGTATTTTTCTTTTAATTCTCTGTGTAGAGGTTAGTTCATGTTGACACTTGCAAAACATTTCAATCTAATTAAAGTGAGGACACCGTAACAACATACCAAGAGAATTCCCGCCCCGCCAACTGTTCTTTATCCCTTCAGGTCCTGATTCCTTCTTTTTGAACTTTGATCTTTAGCAATCACATAACATCTAAAATTACCAAACTGCTCAGTTCTGATCAAATTTATTTAAAAATACCATAAGTGTATATGTTTTTCTCTTGCTGTTGCCACAGTCGCCGCTCTCTGAGCTGCAGGAAGGGCTGAAGAAGGGAAATTGGCGAGGGACGCGTGCTAGTTCCGTCCGTCTGCGAGGACAGAGAAGGGCGTGTTTACATTGGCCGTTTGTTGAGTTGAAATGAACCACTTCAAAGGGACAGGAGGGCCGTGCTTGACTGAATAGGTCGGCTCTAAATAAATGGGTTCTACCTTCAGACAGTTCTAGTCATTTAATTATAAACAACCAGCCATTTAATTATAGAATGTTTCAAATATTAAAAGGAAGAAAATGGTGTAATAGGTTAACACCTTTCATTGAAAGCCATGTTTAAATGTTTTCCCTACAACTGTTCTCTGCATCAGAAAGAAACCTGGCACAGAGGGATGCATGAAACCTGATTTGTTAATCAGACTGCATCTGCTTAAGTACTAGCCTGCATCTAGAAGATCTGATGTGAAATGTGCTACTTTGGCAATCATCAAAGACTCAACATTTCTATCATTAGTGATACAGCTGGACCAGAGGAGAGGCCTTCTTTCATCCGTAGAGATTATTTTACTATAAAAAGAAAATTGTGTTTTGAAGTTTAGTTTTGCAAATAAAAACATAGAAATGAAATTCTCTTCCATTAGTTGCTCCTTCTTTCTCAGATATTCCCTCAGATGGAGATTTTGAACTTGAACTTAAATGAGGATGAAAATATTTTGGTCTGCAGTTGAAAATATTGCAATATTCTTATTGTTCTCAACTACTTCAGGTCTCCTAAGTAGCTTACAAGTACGTGTTTGGAGATGCTACTGTGTTTATGTCCACCATACAAACCACTGTGGTCTGTTTCCCACATGGTCGCCCTGCCTGATGAGAATGACCGCGACCACGTGTCCAGTCCAGGGCCCAGCCCCTTGACTCTGCATTCTCCCTGCTGACTGGAGAAGCCTGGGCGCCTGCACCTGGAGCCTGCCCCGCAGCTAAACATGGTGGGCTCCTGGTTTTCCTCCTGCGCTCCGGCTCGGTTACCCCCCCATTCCCAGTCACCCTGGCTCCAAGCCTCAGTCTTCCCACATCTTCCTCTCCCAGAGTCTCCTCCACCCTTAGTGGCCTACATATGTTTTGAATTTCCCCACCTTTGTGCCTTTCTTATATCGTCCTCTCCCCCTGAAGGGGCCTAATTTGAACCTAAATCTTCCCCATCTTTTAAGTTTCTACTCAGATCCCATCCCTCCGTGAAGCCATCTGAATCCCTCCATTGGAATTCGTTTTCCTCTCACTTCTTCCACTGACTGCATTTTGTGTGCTAGCAACATCCACAGTTTAGTTTTTCCCAAACATTTTATGGTGAAAATTTTCAAATATTCAGACAAGTTGAATGAGTAATACAGTAAACACTCATGTACTTGTCATTTAGATTCTACAGTTAACGTTTTGCTCTGTTTGCTTTTTAACATATCCATCTGTCCATTTCTCTGTCCACCCATCAATCCATCGTATATATTTTTTTCCAAAGCAAGTTGCAGACATCAGTACATTTTACCCCAATGCTTTTGCATGCGTAGCATTAACTAGAGTTCAATATTTGTTTTCTTTTTTTGGTAAAATTTATATACAGCAAAATGCAGAAATGTTTAATGTACCATTCGATGAATTTTGATGCGTGTATACACCTTTGTAACACATATCACTACCCAGATAGAGAACACTAATTACCATCACAGCAGAAAGTTCCCTTGTGTCCCTTCTCAGTCAGTTGCCATCTCCTGTCCCAAAGGAACCACTGTTATGATTTTTTTCACCATAGATTAGTTTGGCCCATTTTTGAACTTCATATAAATGTAGTCAAACACTATGTGCTCTTTTGGGTAAGGCATCTTGCATTCGGTGCACCATTCTTGAGATCCATCCATGTCGCCACAGGTGTCAGTAGGTTGTTCCTTTTTGTTATGAGTAGTATTCCATTTTATGAGTTTACCTCATCTGTTTATCTGTATCCTGTTGATGGGAACTTGTGTTGTTTCCAGTTTGGTGTCGTAAGGTCCTTTTCTTTGTTGACATGCTTTTATTTATCTTGGGTAATACCTAGGAGGAAATTGCTATGTCATAGGGTAAGTGAGCTTAGTTTTATAAGGAACTGCTAGACGTTTTTCTGAAGCGGTTGTATCATTTCACCACTGATGTATGACAATTCAGGTTGCCCACAGCCTTGCCTACATTTGGTGTTGTCAGTCTTCGTAATTTTAGCCATTCTGGTGAGTGTATTGTGGTGTCTCGTTGTTTTAGTTTTCTTTTCCCAGATGGCAATGATGTTGAGTGTCTTCTCAGTGCCTATTAGTTGTGTGTGTTTATTTGGATGTCTTCTTTTGTGAAAGGTCTGCTCAAATCTTTGTCCATTTTTAATTCTTCAAAATATGTTGACGATGAGTTGAAGGAGTCCTTTATATATTCTGGATATGAGTCCTATGTGAAACATATATTATGTGAATATATGCTCCCTTCCTGTCATTTACCTATTCATTTTCTTAATGGTTTCTTTTAAAGAGTGCAAGTTTTTAATTTTGGTGAAATCTAGTATATCCATTTTTTTTTCTTTTATGGTTATTGCTTTCTGTGTCTTAAGAAACCTTTGCCTACCTCAAAGTCTCAAATATATTCTATATTTTCTTCTAGACACTTTATAATCTTAGCTTTATACTTAGGTCCATGCCCATCTCACATTAATTTTTATGTATGGTATGCAGTAGGAGTCAAGATTAGTTTTTCCCCCATCTGGGTATGCATTTCCCCACAGTGTACTTTTGTGATTGTGTCCTGCTCACTCTCATATTGTACCTTAGCCTGTTTGTCTTTGAATGCTCATGACCTGGCCTGATCCTTTACACACAGCAAATACTCAATACATGTTACTTGAGTTGCATTAAAGGTTTAGAGGGTAACAAAGAATTCTGGCAATCTCTTAATATCTCAGTGTTGGGATCCATCCCCCAAATTAAATGCCAACATATATAGCCCTGGTCAACCTGTGAGTTAGCATCATCTGCCAAGAATATAAGTCGAGGCAACAAAGTGGATTGCTCGAATCTTTGTCTTTGGCTTCTTTGGAGGGAAGAATGGAGATAAATTCAGCTTTTCGTTGAATTGTTTATATATGCTAGACACAGTGCCTTGTTGCTTTCCAAAACGTCTCCTAGTTTTACCTTTGTAGCAACCTTGTATATTAGATGAGGAAATTTTAGTATCAGGGGTTTTAAGTGACTTCCATGTTATACAATTAGAAAGTTGCAAAGCTAGGAGTTCTCCAACACGGGAGAATCTGGAAGAAAGCAATGACTTGACTCTGACATAAGATTTCTGCAAGAGAATTAACATTTGAATGATTTTAAAGTGTATAGAACTTGATGATAAAACTTGATAAGTAATTAAACATGGTAAATTCTGCATCAACCCAGTCGAAGATAACCAATCAGTCTTCTAACATCACTCCAAGTATATGGGGATACCTGCAAAGGAAAACCCTCGGGAAACATGTTTGGGCCTAAATCTCTGTGCTGTCTGTGTTGATTAGATAGTGAAAATGCATTGAAATCATTAATAGCTTCAGGGCCCACACCCTGCCCATGACGTTTGTAATGTTCTTGTAGTCAGGTTATGGAGGCAAGTTCTTGTTTCAGAAAGCTGGACTGTTCCCCTGGTGCGCAGATGTGAGTGTGTGCTTTTGTCCCTCCTTGGTGTCTGCCGGTGAGTGGTGGCTGATCTTTCCTCTGTTTGCAGGTATGCTTCAGAAGTGTCCTTCTGTTGATGACTTTGTAAGTGCCCTCGTTTCTGACTTGGATCTGGACTTCGAAACTTTCCTCATGGATTCCGAATGATGGAAACACCTCGAATCTTTTAAATCAAGGTCATGTGGATATTAACTTTGTTGTAAATACAGCTGTGAACACTCGTTCCTGATTTCAATATTCACTTCTGTAATAACTTCTGAAAAACCTTAAACTGATAGAACTTGGAATAAATAATTTGTTTTAATTATGCTGGCTTTTAGCCTGTTGGCTGATTCTTGGACCTATGCAGATCTACTCAGTGAGCTAGTAGAAACTAGACTTAAGGGCTGAGCATTTCCTTAGTCCAGCCACACTCCGGTTGGCCTTTTCCCCTTTCCATTGATCTTTAAATGGTTAAATTAAAGACTTAATTAAAAGCAAAATTATTTTTGGTTTGAAGCAGTCTTCAGAAGGATTACACAGATAGTTCTTTTGAATGATTGCCATGCCTAAAGACCACTGTACTAGGCTTTGAGAAGGCACTTGGAGTAGTCAGTCACAGTGACCGAGAGACCAAGTACGGTTTCCAAAGTATGCGTAATTGACTGCACTGGGTTTTTCTGAGTGCTCAGGCACCACACAGATGGACTCAGAACAGAGGGAACCTGAACTCACACTTGTCTGGCTTGACTGTGAATGTACAGAAACAGGTGCAGGTGCGGTTAATAAGTGATGTGCCAAGATCCAGCAACTGATAAGTAAGGAAACTGGGCTTCAGACTGTGTCTGTCTCTATCCGGAACCCATCTGCTTTACATTACTGCGTACCGTATCATTGTGTGTTAATAACAGGAAAGGAATTATTTAATGTGTTTCTCCCACCATCAAAGTCAAGAATTTAATTACAGACTTTAGTTTAAAAAGGCATTTGCTAGCAGCCTCTTCCTGCTTTTCACTAAATGACTAATGATGTTCCTAAAAGACTAAATTAAAAATCCCCAAAACTAAGACACGTCCAACCTATTCACAAAGACACTCTTGGGCCTCTATCAACCCCTTTTCAGGTGACGGTGAGTAAGCAGGAAAATCTGTATGGAACCTTTGTGCAAACATTTCTCAGAAAAAGGAAAGGGAAAGGTCACCTGGAAGATGATAATTTGGAAAATTATTTTTAAAAGGAACTAAATCACATTGTAGAAAAACTCTCTGGTATTCTTAGTGAGATTTGAGAAAACATGGTATTTGTGAAGCTGAAAGCCATAAAGAAAGAATAAGCAGAAATAAAGGGATAATAGGATTAAGCTAAAAAAGAAGATAGAAAAAGAAAGAAATGCGGAGAAACTGAAACACAGTACAATGATTTAAAACATTATCAAAGCAGAAAAGAACAAAACTGTTGATGACAAACTTGAGAAACGTCTCAGCATGAGGTGAAAGGGACAGGGCTAGAGCTGATGGCAAGGGAGCCGGAGCAGAGAGCCGGCTCCTCCGGATGACGGAATCCTGACGGGGAATCCGGACAGTCGAGCAAGAGCAAGAACAAAACAAATGCTCGTGTCCTCCGCTGTCCCCGGGCTCAGAACAGTGCCCGGCACATGGTACGTGCTCGGTGAGTACGTGGCGTTCAGTGAATTTAAGGAAACGTTTTTGAGCTGAAAAGAAGACATGAGTGCAATTTAAAGGAAAATCCTTGACGGTTGCCCAATAATGTGAATGTACTTAATGCCGCTGAACTATACATTTGACAATGGTTAAAACTGGTAAATTTTATGTTATGTATATTTTACCACAATTTTTAAAAAAGAAAAGAGGGAGGGGCTGGCCCCGTGGCCGAGTGGTTAAGTTCGCGCGCTCCGCTGCAGGCGGCCCAGTGTTTCGTCGGTTCGAATCCTGGGCGCGGACATGACACTGCTCGTCAGACCACGCTGAGGCAGCGTCCCACATGCCACAACTAGAGGAACCCACAACGAAGAATACACAACTATGTACCGGGGGGCTTTGGGGAGAAAAAGGAAAAAATAAAATCTTTAAAAATAAAAAAATAAAAAAAAAAAAAGAAAAGAAAAGAAAAGAGGGAGAATCCTGCATTCTAGACCAGAACAAACAAAACAGTGAAAAGAGACCCCTGCCTAGACATAATCTGTCTTTTCTTTTCAGAGTTTAAATATAACTAAAATTATAAGCCACCATATCGCAAACTGGGCTTTGCAGAGCGCTTCCCAGGAACTGTTCCTTAGTGTTCCATGGACTCTAAAGGCTCCTGTTGTTGAATGCATTTGGGAAAGGCCAGTGTGCACGTTAGCAATTCTGCAATCACAAGGCATGGTTAGCATTGCATATGTGACCTGATGTTTCCCAAACATATTTGATTATAGGAGCCACCCCTTTTTTGGAGTACCTCTTGATGACATTTTTCAGAACATTAGGAAATAACTGCTAAAAGCATTGAGCTTACATACAAAGGAACACAAATTATTGTGATCCCAGAATGCAATTATTCATTGTCATTAAAAGCCAATGGACAATGGGAAAAAGTTTTGAGATAAAGGCCGAGATGTAAAATGGCTTTCTCAGATAGACGAGGGCTCAGGAAACATCTCAGCTTTGTAGCCTTGTTTAAAAATTGCTAAAAGAATAAGTAATTTAGACCAAGCATCAAAGCAAAGGAGATCGCTAAGGAACTTCTAAGAATGCAGAGCGGTCATTGCCTCTTTTCACAGTAACAGCTGGATAAATCATAATAGCAAGTTATTTTATTATGAGTGCTTTTCCTTAGGATAGGAATAAACCCATAAGCACAGAGCAGTTCCTCTGGGGAAATGCTCTCCTGTATTATGATTTACTTACCACCAGCTTCCAAAAATCCAATTTAAAGTACTTAGGACTCCGTAAACACTAAAAAAATAATGTAGAGAAAGAACTTGAGGATAATAAGATGTTAATGTGGTTGTCTTTACTGTTGATAGTCGGGCCTTTTATTTTTCTTCTTTCTTCTTCTACTTCCAAAGTTTTAGAAGTAGGTAATGTGGTAATTTTAACAATAATTTAAAACTTACAAAAAGTTTAATAATCACGACAGCACATTTAAAGCATTTTTCCAACTCGGAAGAAATGCTTGGCTGGTATAAGCGAATTCAGAAAATGTCTCTGAAACATTCAGGGAATGATTTGTACAGTCAAACACTTTATTAATACCAAAGCTTTAGCCTGATTTGATAAAAGTGATTGAGATAAAATATGACAATAGTGCTCGACATTTATTTAGCATTTTTCAGTTGCCAAAGAACTTGTCATACAGCCGTGCGATGGTCATCACCTGAGCTAGCAGGACAGATGGTGTCATGAACTATGTGACTAGTGAGGCAGACAGGCCGGTCACTGGCAGATGCAGGATCAGTGCCGGCTCCGGTGGCTCCTCGTCCACAGCCCTTTCCACTTCATACAAGTCTTCAGAGGTCCTGCCTGTTTTCTGCAGGCTCGTAGGTGTGTCTTCAGACACAGACAGTGTGTTGAGTGGTTACGTGACCCCCACAGACCGCAGGGCCTTCTGTCACTCACTGGCTTTCTGCTTGAGGAAGCTGATGCCCCTGAACAGATAGAGGATGAAATAAAATATGAAGTCTGTTACATCAGGCCAGGAAAGACGACGGCTTGAATCAGGGCAGTGTTGGGTGGAAGGATGGAGAGAGTAGAAACAGACATTCTGGAATATTCACTGACAGAACTTGGTATCAAACTGCAGTGGTGGGGCAGAATGAGGTAGATATGCCACCTATGTGCTCATCTAAATCATGACTGAAACTTGATTTTAGAAAAAAATTCAGGGAAGCAAGAACTAGACCCAGCTTGTGGTGGCCATGAGTCACTGCCCTTCAGGTGGACAGATCGCTCAGTCTGCCTCTTTTGAGTAAGATCATCCAGCAATTATGGATACTCTCCAGGAACGTTTCTCTGTTGCATCTACAAAACAGTCGTGAAGGACTTTGTCGGGTATCTTTCTGAAATCCAGATGCATTAGGGGACTACACTGCCTTGGTCTGAGGTTAATTGCACTCCACAGTCACCATGTTCTCAAATATTTTATCCTCACAGCAGCTCTTTGGGGTGAGTGAAACGATCCCCATTAGAGTGACACTGGAGAGATGACATGAAGGCCAACTCTGAGCAAATGCCTAAGTGGCGGTATCACGTGGAGGGGAGTCTTCCTTCTGCGAGAGAGGTAGGGGTGCTTCCAGGAGGAACAGGTCTTAAGCAAAATCTTGAAATAAATAGTAGGTGTGAATTAGAAAACTAACTCAAAAGTGAGTTCATGGTATCAGTGTGGTTAATTCACCTTGCAAAGCATGAGGCTCCAACTTGCCTACATTTGAAAGAAGAACTGAGCTTTTTGTAATGTGAAATAACAGAGGATTCAGGAATAAAAAGTAGCTAATACATAAAGACCCAGGGAACACATCTACTGCGTGAATGTAAAATGCATGTGACCTACACAGGCCCCAGAATAGTGGACGGCACATGTCCCACGTCGTCCCTTCCACAGTGCAGACACTGAGCATCGAGATGCCACAGGGATGTCAGGTGGCATGCCGTTTCTAGAACCTTTGTCCTGAATTCCAGGTGTTTTTCAAGCTGTCTACATTACCCGTATGTCTTAAAGACACATCAAAGTCAACCTGCAAAAGCGGACTCATCTTCTATCCCACACACTCCTCGTGAGTCAACGTGGATTAGTGGCGCCCGTTCTCCCCAGGCGCTGAGGGAGAAACCCTGTAAGGGCTGAGTCGCTCCTCCCTGCTCCATCATCCCTGTGGTCGGCACTTACTGTCCTGTCGCACTTGGCCTGTTTGTTATGCACCTGTCTCTGTAAGTCCAGGAGCAGGTCCTGCTCATCTTAGCTCCATTTTGCCAAGCCCAATTGAAGAGGCATGGAGGAAACCAGGAGCAAACCAGCCTCGGCAGAGAAGTCCCAGGCAGAGCCGTATGCTTGTCTTAGAATGTGTGTAGAAACCTCTTTGGTCCTGTTGTGTTAATCTCCACTCGAGCTGTCTGACGTGGCTGATGGCCGAAGAGGCCGTGTGCGGGGACGGAGCGCGCTGTGCGATCTCTGTCTGATCCGGAGCTACCAGTCCGTTGCGAATTGGTCGCTATTCCGCAGGAAGAAGGGAGCCTCGAGGCAGCGGACGTCCTGAACATCACGGGGAGCTTGCGTTCGAGGGGTCTCGCCGCGCGTGCGCAGGAGGAGCTTGCGTGGGCGCCGCGGGAGCGGGCCGGACG